GTTTTTGAAATCATTGCCTATTCTGTTTCCCACTAAAACTGGATCTCTGAAAATGACCCTGGAACCACTTAGAACAACAAATATTTTCTCAAAGCAATTTAGTCTCTTAACTCACAAGAAATAATGTCAGAAACAAAAGCAAGCATCCTGGAATAATAACAAAAAAATGTAATAAAAAGGAAGACACATTTCTTTCTTTTGTTGATTAACAGTGGGGCTTTTTTCTTATGGATATAATCTGACATATATTTTACTATGGGAATAGTGTAAAATTCTAAGTCCTTTGACATTCTATCTTATATGAAGTATGAGACGCAGCTTTGTTTGAAAGAATGAAGAAATACTTTGCATAACCCAAAATAAGTTGCTCTAGACAGGGAATGTGGAAATAGATGATGAGCTAGATGTTGCTCACTGGGTTTTTTCTTAATACACATGTGAGGACTTGCTAAGAAAGGTCCCCATGTTTATAGTTACAATGATATGCTTCAAAAGTTTTACAATTGCTTTGATTTCTCTGTGCAGTAATCTGACTACCTGAGATCTCACCAATTGCTTTGTCAGTGCTGTAGGAGATCTTTACTTTTATTGAGACCAACAGCAACAGGGAGTAAGAGACGGTGTGAAGAAAAATATAAAGAAATGAAACCTTTATGGAGAGATGTTTGGCAAAAGTTATGGAGGCATCTGGGAATTTTTGATTGGTTTTATGACAGAGAAGTCATAAACCACTTGAGGTAGATGGTTCTCAAGAGGAAGACCAGGGTAGTAGTTGCAGTAGTGCCTAGATTTAAATAGTTGAGACACCATTTAACACACATTATTTAACATTCTATGCATTGACTTTTAATATATAAAATGGAAATAATAATACCTTTCTCAAAGGGTTTTTATGAGGATTAAGTGAGTTAATATGGGAAAAGTATTTACTATGATGCTTGATACATATTAAGTATTATATATGACTTAATCAAATAAGTATAAAAATACTGATGATGTAAATGTGGTTTTTGATTATGAGTGTGTTAAGAAAGTCACAAACATCAATTTATATCAGTATTTTACTGGTTCTTTAAAACTTGTTTTATATTTATATGAAATGTACTCTAACCTCATAAAAACACACACATATATAATAATTACATAATCATCTCCATTTTCTTTTGTCTCTTTACCATTGTTCACATGCTAAGTTAGAAGAGTCCTTTCATTGCAATTTAATATTTCCATGTTAAAAATCTTTGCGTGAATTGGAAATAGCAATACAAAGAAAAAGATTAATACAAACAACTATGATTATGGTTTCATAAGAGAATAATTTTACTACTGAAGTAATGGGAAAACTGCAGAAAATAAATTATTATAATCTGTGCTTGTGTAAGTTAGAATTATTGCATAACTCATATTATCACTTTTCACTAAAAATTAAAAAATCTCCAAATCTTCTCCTTAAACTTAATGACTGGAGAATAATCTTTTCAATTATTCTTATTCAATATCAGGCCACTCATAAAATCCTATAAACATTTTTTGAAAAGCAATTTTTTACTTAGTAGAATATTCAAAATTTAAATGTATTCTATTCAAATACAAGAGAGAAGATTTATGGGGCTTCAGAAAGATTTCCACAAAATTGGGCAGATGCTCTCATGTATTTGTGTGCATTTTTAAATGAATGCACCTTGTTGTACTCCATCTGTTTGGTGCTTTAAACTGCTTCTGCAAATGACATCTCAAAGACTCCAGGAGCCTAACACGCACACTCACAGTAAGATTGCAGACCTGTTTCACAGTGAGGTAAAGGCTAGTTGCTGAGATGGTACTACCAAAATGTTTCTTTTATTAAGATTAAAACATTTTGTAGAAGAAACTGTATTTAGGATGATTTTTCTTGTTTACTCGTGTTGTTCTGTCTTTTTTAAATGTCTTTGGTTATAAAAATGTCCTATTAGGTTTTAAATACTGCAGGCATCAGAGAAGGAAATGGTAATGATTTGTGCTTACTGCTGCCCAAAGTTCAGTAAAGGTTAAGGAACTTCTACTACTAATTGAATCAGATATTCATTTTAAATCCAGGCCTGGTAGTAAAAATATGATTCTTTTAAAATCTTCTACAAATGTACTTAGGCATTTCAACATTAGTTTTAAATTTCTGTGCCTAAATAGAATACGTTAACTGACAAGGTGATCTCATTTGAACTATGTTCATTTAGAATTTATCTAGTCATTTCTTCCATCATCATTGACCCAGAATAAGCAGGTTAGGGTTTGGTGCCTCATAAAGCAAAGCAGATAGCTTTGTGCAATTGTTGCATAGTGACAAAGGATCACTAAATGTCAAACTATTTTCAGTTCAGCAACTGAGATGAGGAATAAAGGATTTAACATATGCAATATAACATCACGAGAGAACTCAGCAACTGAAAAATAACACTTTCTCATGAGAGTTACACTTTCCTTTACTAAATAATGCAACAAAAGACTTTATGTTTTTCAGAACTTTCTTCTGTGAAGCCACAATTTACCTACTTAACAGGATGGGTGTGTATTAGGTTAACATCCTACAGTAGGATGTCACAGTTAAATTCCTTTAGATTAAGATTGGCAGCTTTATTTTTGTGTACAAACTACCAGTTTGCATTACCTGGGGAAAATCTATACTGAATTTCCTCTGTGGAAAGTGTGGACAACTGGAGATGAAGGATGCTCCTTGGCGAAAAGTTGAAATTATTCTTTTTAATTCTACTTAGAAGAGACAAAATAAGATGCTTATTCATTGATTTATTAATTCATTTAATCAATTATTTTTACTTCCCAGGACTCAGAAACTGTGAAAATCTTGTATAACCATGAGTAAAACATGAAATAGTTCCCTTCTAGAGCTCTGTTTCATAGGAAGGGACAAAGGATGAACTTGCAATAGCAGATAGATATAAACAGAGCATCTTTCAGTCTCACCATACTCCTGTGGGCTGAGAAGTTATAAGGTTCCTTGCTAAGATATTGATTAGTATCCCCATAAGGTCCTCCTACGGTTTCTAAGTGGTTGCTACTGAAGGAAGCGGTACCTAGGTGGCTTAAGAGGTTAACGCACAGTTTAAGAGGTTGCCTAAGAGGTTTTGTCTACTGGGAGGTCCCCTTAAAGGCCATTGAACTTGTGGCCTTAAAGGGGATTGCAGGGCCTTGGTCTCATTCTCTTTCTCTGCTTCTCTGCTCAAGATGTGACAACTTGCTATGTCACATTCACACCATAATAGCCACTGTCATAGGCATCCCATACCATGGGTCTCTTAAACTTAGACTTTGAATTCCACACCCATGAATCAAAATAAACCTCTCTTTATTTCCTAAGTATCTCATGTCAGGTATCCACTGTAGCAATGAGCAGCTGACTAATACACCCTTCGTATGTATGTATTTATCAGGTGAGGATTGAGGTTGACAACAATAAAGGATAAAGAGAAAGAGAGTGGGGGAGTGAAGGCTATTGTTGTTAATACATTATGTAAGGGAGTGCCTTTAACGGGAAAGGAGGAGGAGGGACTATAGATAATGTAGGAAAGAGTGCACGCTTTGAGCAAAGGTGTGTTTGAGTCATTCACGGTTAGCAGAGGCCACTGAAGGTTCTGCAGAGTGATGAGTGGCAGAATGATACCATGGTAATCAGAGTCTTTAAAGGATGAAGACTATTACTCTGAATAAACAGAGTCAATAAGGAATTTTGAGCAGGGAAGGAACATACTATGATTTACACTTCAAAAGGATGACTTAGGCTTCTGTGTTGATCATTTGTTGAAGGGCACAGGGCATAAGAAAGGAGAGCAGTTACAAGGATGTGTGGATTATCCAGACTGAGGAAACAGGCTCTTGGAAAAGCTGAGGGTGGTGTTATGTTTAAAGAAGTAGTTTGATTTAGAATATGCAGGTATACCTTATTCCAAATCTTCCTAATAAATAAATATTTCCCACTAAAGTCCCTCTTGTTTTTTTAAAATTGTATTTTACAATATATACATATTCTTCAATGTATTTTAAGTGTCACCCAATATAAAAATAATATTTATGTCCCTAACACTTACTATTTAAAAAGTATGGTATATCATCTAAAATAAATGCAAGAAGATTACAGATTTAAGCACAAATGGGGCTGTTTAATGACTTAGAGCAGACTTGTTCCCCACCACCAAAAAACCCAAAAAACAAAAAACTAAAAACCAGGTTAAGGATGTAGTCCAATGGGAGGGTCAGTTGATTGATTATTAGAATCAAGTGTAGGTATTTCACTGACAGCCAGTCATCAAAAAGACAATGAGTGTCTTAGCTGCTGTTAGTTCTTAGAGGTCTAACAGATTCCTCCTTAGAGCAATGGTCAGCTTTATTCTGAAATGTGGGGACACAGAGCGGCAGACTTTGCATTTGAAAGACACATTCCTTTCAGCTCTGTGAAAAATATGACAAAATTGTAATTAAAACCTCATTTTGCATTTTTTTGTCCCAACATTAAGTAGTTTTTCAAGTTTTCACTCTAAAGATGTCTGCAAATACCAAATGGCAGAGAATCTTGGCCAGTTACTTTGAATCTGATAATTCCTGAAATTGCCCATTCATCACCCATACTATCACTACAATCAGTTTTCAGAGCAAAGACAAAACCAGTTTTAATCTTTCCTCCTTATCAATTTTTGCCAAGTTACAAGTGCCTACCTTACTTGGTAAGTAAACACATTACCAAAAACCATTTAACATTTATTATAAAATTTGCCTGAATATTTTTTGACAGGTATTATTTACTATGAAAGATTTGTAAAACATTTATAGTGTAGCAATTTTAATGTGGGTTAGATACACTTTATAAATTTAGTTGATGACTTTTGGTTTGTCAGTTTATTGTACTTTTTTTTTTCCTACTTGAAATTATTTGAAGTAGGCTCTGGCTAAGTTTCTGTACAGAACGTTTTCTGCTTAGAAAAACTGATGTTATGTTCTTTAACTCCCTACAGGTAGAGTTTACAGGGAAAGGGAAAGTGAAAGATGAGTAGGAGCTAACAGTGAGGAGGACCAAAGCAGAGAGACTCAAGAAGCAAGTGAAAGGTACAATGTTCTTTTCCCTTTCCTTCCTTTAAAACAGACGGAGTAATCGACTTTGCTGAGTGTTGCACAATGATAATGTAAAACAAAGGCTGATGATCTCCAATGACCTTAGCAACCTCAAGGTCATTGGTGGTTACTATTTCCTTGAAAAAGAGGGGATACAAAGTTGGCAACAAGGCAGAAAGCACAGTGACAGCAATGAGTCCAGATAACTTTTGAGACCTTCCACTGCAAAGACAATGAAGAAGCAGTATGGTAGCTAAATGCAGACGGAATCAGAAAGGGTTTTTTTGTTAGCTTTTTATTGTGCTTTTGAGTTGATAGATTCACTATTGTACCCCTAATGTATGAAGAAGTAGAAAATGTTTGTACTAAGACAGTATTGACTACAGGCTCTTGTCCAATTTTCTTAATATGGAACTAAGGCCCAGTTCCTTAGCTGAATGCTAGGAAGAGTGGAGTGGGTTTGAGGTTAATGATAAAATGTGTTGACTGTAGGTTAGGAACTGCCAGTGACGGCCAAGATCAAAGAAAGCTGGAGGTGACTGGAAAATACAAGTCTTTGGAAACAAGAAGGTAAAATATATGTAAGGCAAATTCATTGCAAGAAGACATAAAAATAGGGATAGAGTTTCTATAGATTTTTAACATTAGGTGGAATAGTACTCTTTAACCAGGATTTCACAAGCCAGTCACAGTGGCCTACCAAATGATTATCAGTATTTACAACAAAATAAATTTTTATAATTGTCAAGAGTGCAAAAATGGGTTCCTTTCTGTCTCTATTCTAGCCCAATTCTCAAAATTTGATAACAAGCATAGGTACCAGGTTACTCTACGTCTATCAAAGGGATAATTGGCCTAATCAGGACCTGTTAGAAGATTAGGAGATTAGTTAAGACAACTCAGCAATTGCCTTCCTTTTATTTCTGTATGTAGAGGAAGAGGTTGTAGAAGAATGTAAAGGTTGTGGAGAGCTTTTAGTGTGCCATAGTGTTTCACCTCCTCTTTCAAGTGAAATGGGCTTCAGTGGGGCCTCCTAGGGTAGTTCAGTGTGCCTCAGAATTGTAGCCTGGGCTGCCCGAGCAAAAAAAGGAAATCTGAACCAGGAGCAGGTTGCATGTTCATCCCAGAGCACAGTGGTGCAAGTTTCCCCAGAGCAGATGGCTCTTGGAAGAAGGCTGAATCAATGTAATTTTAAAGGAGACACACAACGTTTTCCAACTCAGAACAAAGTGACGGGCACAGAGAAAACAGAACAAAGCACCACTGGTGAACTATAGGACCACACAACTCAGGAGGGCAGGAATGTGTGGCAGAATGTTTAGTGTGTAAACATAAGAGCCACACTGCCCACATCCAAAGAGCTGCTCTGAAGCTTTGCTTTGAAGAAGCCCTTGGAGCCTTCTAAGGAAAACATGTCCAGTATCAAGAGTCCTGGCCGCCTTATGTCAAGTAAGACTGGTTGCTCTCCTAATCCCTTGTTCCTCTGGACTAGGCCAGGAAGGATATGGAACTCTTACCATCACAGTAGGAGCTGCAATGGAAGAGAGAAAAAAATGCCATATTCTCTGCACTGCAGGGTTGCAGGGATGAGACAAGGTCTAGTGGGGATGTGGAGGGGAAGAGAGATAACTTGGGTATAGGTTTCCATTCAGGGTATTATATTAAAAGAAAGCGACCACTTATATTCTCCAAATGAGACTGTGACTGAAGCAGAGGTCTGGGACTCACCTGAGGTGTCTCCTAGAAGTGAGGAAGTATCTGTCTCCCACAGGTTTGAAGACTGGGGGAGAGAATGACATTGCATCGCAATTCCCCTGTTGAGTGCTGCTCTTCCAATAGATCAGTTTCTCCTCCTTACCCAGGTCTTTGCCCCACTGTATACTGCTAACTCTGCACTGTCACATGAACACTGGGTCATACAAGTCTTACTCTGTCGATTAAATTGGTACTACTAAGCACCTTTCTAACAGTTCATGGTTAGTGATGTGACTTCGTACAACATTACATTGAACTCAAATGAAAACAAGTATTTATGAGGATATGCAAGAATATTTCAGTTTTGAATACATAGAGAAACACAGAGAAATGAATTCTCCCAATGCTTTCACCCAAACAGCTACTTCTAAAATCACAATATACAATATCCTAACTAATGTTAATTTCCCACTATTTTTTTGAAATTCTGTATTGTTTCTATCTTTCATTTTTTTCTACAATAAACTTTTAAAGAATTTTAATTTTAATTCACATAAAATAATTGCACATATTTATGGGGTACAGTGTGATAAATTGACACTTTTGTGTAATATGTAGTGATAAGACAGATAATTGGTATTTCCATTTCTTTGAATATCTGTCTTCTTTTTTGTTAGAAACATTTAAAACGTGCTTCTTGTCTCATGTTGACTGAATGATGAAGAACAATCAAATGAAAAAAAGATAAAATGTTTTATATTCCCTATAATGTCAAAAGAACTTTGGAAGAGCTAAACATTTCATCAGACATTGTAGTTTCAAATTAAAACTATATTATGAAAATGTGAAACTAATGAATAATTTAATAGCTGTGGTTGAACTAAAAAACTCCATGCTTTGAGATCATGACTTAATTTTAAGAACCGTAAATGGAGATGATAAAAGCATCGATACATCATAGTAATCAGCTTTGGAATTAAACAGATCTGTATTCAGATTCCAGATCTGCCATTAATTTGAGTAAAATAGTTATTTACCATATATATATATATATATATATATATATATATATACACACACACACACACACACGTGTGTGTGTGTGTGTGTGTGTGTGTGTGTGTGTGAATGTAAATGTTTATTCCTGTCCTTAAGGTCAATGGCAAAATATCTTTTCACATGTTTGCACGTTTCACATGTTTTTAATTACTGAAAAATTTTTCACATGAGGGTATCACATCTTCAAATACTAGGCTGATGGACTTCAGAGCAATTTTATCATTTGATTCCTACTCCTTTTTCCTGAGATGCCAATAGAACATGAAATAGAACTCTGGTTCAAGCACAGGGTGAGACAGGACTGTTAGAGATCTCAGAAGCCTGGATATTCAGTTATACTCTGTCATCTCCATCACCCATCCCAAAGGCAATTAACCAGAACATCTTTTTTAGAACTAGGGTTCTCTTTTATTACTCATGTTCTTACCTTCCAAGCCAATCTATATTCATAGATTAAAATATGTAAAATGGTAAGACATACCTAGATCACAATGTATCTTTTCTGTGTTCGGCATTATTATTGTCTTTCAGGTTGGCCCGCCATTTCTTGTCTTTCTACTGAACATAGGCTTCCTGTACAGTTTATTAATCCCCTTATATTTTTGTCCATACCTCTGCCTCAAAGATTCTATCAACTCATCTAGTGCCACTTATCACTTACAGTTCGGTATGTCTGCTACCATCTCACAGGCCATCTCAATGACTCTCCTAGAGTCACCGCCTTGCATTTTATCCCAAACTTCTCTTCCTGTCCTCAAGTACGTTCCTCTTTATTGATTCAGTTCATCACTTTCTTCTAGGTCTAAAAACCTCACAGGCCTCTTTGATGTTCCCTGGTTATATACACCCTCTCTTCTGTTCGTTCCTAAAAGCCATCATCCTGGTTAATTTGTCATTGACTCTTGCTTGGACAAGTGTGGTAAACATCAAGAGGGAATCCCATTGCCGCCTTCTTCCTTGAACAAATCCATCACACTCCCTGTTGCTAAACTGACCTTCCCAAAGCTCTGCTGCTCTTATTCCAGTGCTCCAAAGCCTTGAATGTCTTCCCTTACTCCTCTACAATGTGTCTGCAACCTGATTTTTAAGCTTTATCTTGTTTAATGTACCATATAAAGTTCATATTATAGCCAAATTAGAAAGTTTTCTGTTCTCTGAACATACTCTGTGTTAGAAATATATCCCCTTGAGCTTTCTCATTTTGTGTCTAGAAATCATGTCCATCTCTGTGAAACTTCTAGGTACTTTTTAAAGAAAGTATAAGCCCTCAACTATAAGCGTGGGCTTTGGAGTCAGACATAGATAGGTTTGAGTGTTACCATTTAAAGACTCTGAGACCTTAGTTTAGTTATGTAATCTCTCTTAACCTTAATTCTACATTTTCAAGATGAGGACAATAATGTTATAAATGTAATAAAATTGCAGAGAGAATTAAATGGTGTAATGAGTGTCTTGAATCTTAAAATTTGCTAGAAATGTTAAAATATAGTATGTCCCAGTAAATAAGTTTTCTCTACTGCATCAGCTGTGGATCTCAGGTCCTTAGCACCTGAGGTACTTTGGTCAGAAATGCCCTTTCTGTCCTTTTATGTTTCAGTTATTCTGCTAGGTCTCTCTAAAATATCATTTCTCCTAGGCTTCCTGAAACATCTGAAGAAAACCCAGCATTTCCACTGTTCGTTACCCCTTTATTTAGCTTCATAAAAAAGAAAATAATTAACATTATGTTATTTGTTTATTGTCTGCTCAGCTGAGTTATAAATTCTACGAATCAGGTCCTTATTTGTTCTGCTTATTGCCAAACTCCAGGTACCTAGAAGAGCACCTGACATATGGGAGGCTATAAATGAATATTTATTGACTGGCTACATTGCAAAATAAATTCATCTTAACATTAATAAAAGGCAATTCTAAATACTCTTACAATAATAAATACTTTTAATCAGCTTACTAGATTAGTTACCTTCATAAATATCACTCTAATGAAATGTGTATTCTGATTTAAGTGTTTATATTGTGTTCAATACAGCTTGCCTGATCAAATAGTTCTCAAGGACAGGAATGCTATAACTAAAGGATTAGCAAGTATATTCGGTAAAAGATGTTACAATGGAGACTTTAGATTTTTGTGGACTACAGAGTTTGTCATAATCATTGAACTCTACTGTTGTAGAACAAAAACAAAAACAAAATGTCTGCAGAACCTATGTAATGGAAGGGGTGGTTGTAGTTTGCCAACAACTGCTCTAATTTATCGGCATCTATCCACTGGCCACCTATGTAGTAGAATTATT